GGTTTATTTGTGTCTAAACCTCCTTACTGAATGCTCTCTTCTGGTTTCTCAGGTGGCTTTTCCAAGGCATGAATGGGTTGCTTTCTGAATGCTAGCTGATAGCTTTTCCATCTTTAGTAGATTCACGTGTTGCCTTGGATGCCCTGCTGTAAATCGCCAGCTCCTCTTCTTAGAGACTCTTAATTTGTTCGTGAGATCTCGCGTGCGTTCTGTGCCTCTCTCACAATTAGAGCCTAGTCTTAAAGCGCTGGGGTTGTAGTGGTGAGAATACAATGCACAGTTACTTTCAACCGTGAATATGGACTCTCTATGGGGAAAATTTATTTCCACTTGCTTTGCAAGTTAACGTATCTTCTGGCTTTGCACATGTAACGAAGAATCAAGAAGACTGCTCATTTCTGATCCCAGGGAGGGAATGGGAAGTTATACTCTCACAGTTCATAGCTCTCCTCAAAGTCCCCTGAACAGTGATCAAAGCTCAGTGTAAATAAACCTCTGATGCCTGTAGTTGACACTTCCATTCACCTTTTTTTGAGTGGCTTGGGAGTGAATAGCCAGGTGTTGTTTCTTGTCTAAAGAGTGTTTGTTTTCTGTCAACCACATGTGCTACCCATGTCTGTCTTCAGAGCCTAGTAGTTTCCGTGCCAGGTATGGTGTGGGTGGTAGAGATACCCTTCAGCAGGCAGTGTCTTTCACTTCCCCATCCTTTGCCATTTGTCGACATGTGTTAACTGCCAGCCTCCTGAAATTAAACAGGGAGGGCAAGACACAAATAAAAACTGACAAATGCGATTCTGGCAGTGGGCAAATTCAGTGACATCGAAGTGTGTACCCATGAGCTAGTACTGCTGGAGAGTCTCATAGCAAGGCGGAGTGCCTGATTGCATGGTCTTGTCTCTGGAAATGTGAATTCAGGGTCAGTCACCTTGCTGGCTGCTTTTACTGCTGCTCACTTCTTAGACTGTTTCTTTATGTTCTGGATTGTTTCTCTTGGACCGTTTCAAGGAGGATGCATAAGGCCATTACCCACTTGCATCACTTGTACCACACAACCTGTGACTAGGTCTTCTACTAAGATCAGTGCATGTTATGATCTCCACTGGAAAGAAGACATACCAGTTTGATAGCTCAGTCTTTAAAGAGTCCACGTTTCTTTGGGGCTTGGCATATATTAGTGACTCTGTATTGCCATAAAATGGAAGAACCTTATGCCAAGTGTTTTATGAACATGGAAAAGAGAGATGTTTACAATCTGAATATAATGCAAGACTGAGAACTGGGAAAAATCAAATAGTGCTACTTGGTGTGACCAGCAATGGTATTGGTGTAACAACACTGTAAGCTTTGTCTTGCTTTTGTTGTTTTGTTAGCAAAAAACAAATCTGAAAGAGAACAAGGATGTTATTTTCCAGCTTGGCTGAGGGTGAATTTTTTGTGACCAGTTTCATCTGGTCTGGAGTTGGGCTGTTGAAGGGTGGGATGTTCCCACCTGCTTGTTCTGGCTGGCACCAATACGTGCATGGCTGGGGAGCCAGCTGGGTCAGCTTGCTGCTTTCTGTTCAGATGGGTTTTCTTGTAGGGTTAGTTTTCACCGAAGGCAGAGGTGTGATCCAGCTGACCTCGCAGCTACCTGAGCACTAGCTGCCATCGCAAGGTTGGTGAGGCTGTTTGGGTGGGTGAGGAAGAAGCACATGGATTCTCAAAAATTGGCTTAAGCCAGTTGTGAAATTTCATCGGGATTGATTCTCTCTTAGTGAATTTTATTTTTAGCAAGGCAATGTGTTTATCTTGAGTTTCTTTCAAACGTTAGCACCGATGACAAGAATGTGTCTGTGATTTCTGAGAGCAATATGTGAAGAGCTGGGGCGCAGAGCATATCGTTTGTGTGAAGAGTAAGCAGTCTCTTTCATGCATGTTCTTTCTGCCTTGTAAATCTACATCTGTCCTGCTTGTGTAATAAAAATAAGATGTAGCTCAGGGTGGCACCCTTTGTTCTTGTTCTGATAGATTTTTACGATCAACTGAAAAATAGGGCTGCCTGTTCATCTGCTGCTCTGTGCAGGGGCAGCAGCAGAGGACATGAGAGAGTCTATGTGCTGCCTTGAAATGGCATTTTGTAGGCCTGGCTTTTTAATCTTGCTGTATTAAGTCAATGCTTTCAGTTACAGATGCATGGGAAGGGCACTTCTATTTAATTGATAGCTTTGGTTGTTGCTTTTATTCACCCCCTAAACTGTTGTCTCCAAAAAGTAGATCAAAAAATGGGAATAGACTTGATGGAAGAGCCTGGCAAACTGTTCTGCTCTCAGTATTGGGTGTAAGAGCAGAATGGATTTTGCAGTTTGGACGCTGGTCCTCAGATACTCTTCCCTGCCTCAGTCTTTACTTTTGGCAAGTTGATTAACGAAGTTCCTTAGTCATTGAAGTGGGGCAGTTTCTTAACTAACTTGATCATAAGCAGTTTGAAAAGAGGACAGCCACATAGTAATTGTATGGGAGCCATTTGCCAAAATGACTTCTTGCCCTTCTGCAATGCATAAGAAAAAGAAGCAAGCAGCTAATCTCACAGGGTGTGAAAAGTAGGGCCAGATCATGAAGATTCATGGCTATGACAACTGTAGTACCTAGCCATGCCTGTTTGCCTTGATCCTTGAGTAATAGCACTGTTGCAAGCTGGACACCTTAATTGCTTTAAAATTAAAAAAAAAAACAAAACACAGGAGGTAAGATGGATTTCTCTCTGTCTTGTCATCCAGCCTGGTTCCCTGTTAGAACAAGGTTGTCCTGTGGAGAACACGATAGCTAAGTTTGCTCTGTTTCTCCCAGGTGAAGTGTGGTCCTTGGACCTCTGGTAGATGATCAAAGTAATCCTAGCTTGGTAAATTCTGGAGGCTGAGGTATTTGGCACTTTAGTGGCCAATACATTTTACTAGCAGGAAGAACTGTACGAAGCTTAAAATCAAGGCACAAATGTACACAGTTCAGTGTTTGGAGGTTGGTGGGGGTTTACTGCATCCAGGAAAAGTTTTGGGGGCTGGTTTTTAGTTTCTATATAATGAGTAGCTGGAAAAGAACTTCCTATTCCTGCTTGAGATAAAGAAAGAGAAAGTGTTTGGTTCAGCTATCAGGACTTTGTGAAGACTCTTAGAGTCCAGGCTGCTTTGGAGTTACTTGCAGATGTTATTATTTCAAGGGTAGTGAAGGTACCAGTTTGCTTGGAAGAAGTAGGCCAGTTTCTGGGTGTTTTTTTCTTTGGATTGATGTGATTGTATGCGCAGTTTTGGCTGCACTTGTTTAAAAGAAGTCTGCTATTTTGTACTTTATTTACCGTAGTGTCTTAAAATGATATTCAAATTTTCTGCATTCTTAGCTGGGTGCCTGTCTTGTTTATTAGAATTTCTCCCATTTTGGCTTTAGAAGCATCTATCAACTGTTTGGCTTCTCTTGGCTTCTGTTTGCTGGATCTACAGGGAAAATTTCTTGGCTGTCGGCGGTGCAGCTTGCAAGTGTGAGCTTCTGGCTTCCTGTCCTGCCCCAGGTGATGCAAGAGTCCTAGCATATGAAGACAGTACTTGCTTATTTTATTCTAGGGAGGTGGTGGTTGTTTTTAAACTATACCCACAGTGTGCCAGTTTCCTTACCAAGCAAGGGGAGAAATTACTGCTTAGAACTTTACAGCTGAAACTACAAAGGCAGTCCCTTAACTGTGCAAAGTTTCCTGCCCTAAGAGCAGTTGCTGTTCTGTCTATGGTAATACTGTGCAACTGGAGGACAAAAGTGAGGAAATGACAAAGCAGTTCAAGGGCTGATGATGGATTAGGGTGGGGTACAAGCAGGTGAAAGCACTGTGAGAAGTATGTTCTGTTGCTGCTTCTAAGAATATCTTCATTTGGAAACTTGTAATAGGAAAGTGGTGTTGAGGTTGAAGATCCAGAGCAGAAATGTGAGGGTCTGATACTTCAGCACTGTGTGTTTCTGAGCTCTTTATCCTTTCAGCCCAATTAGTTCAGAGTTTAGCTAGAGGAATTTTGCATTAGATTAAGTCTTTATTAACCTTGTATCAAACACGAATGGTGTCAGACTGGGGAATGTGAAGGGGTTTTAATTTCAGTCCTCATACCTGTTTGAGATGCTTTTCGAAGTGTGAATCTCTTACAGCTGAAGCATGATTTTCCTGAGTCCATGGACATCCTGAGGTATGGATGTGTTTTCCTAATTAGCACTCCTGGAGCCAGCTTTAGGACCTGCAGATGACACCTGCAAGCCTTAATCTTAGATACTTAACTGCTAGTTTTGTGGGGTTGTTTCAGCAGCTGAAGGATAGGGGATCGAGTTGGACTCTTCTGCTGGAAGGAAATGCTGAGGAGGAAAAGAGGATATGCACTCATAGGGGAAGGACAAGGGAGGATGAGAGGAGAGGGAATTACTGGTCCTGATCCTGCAGTGCAGGTGTTAATGGCATGGTTAGGGCAAAGGGTCTGCTGTGTGCATTGTGTTTTTTGCAGCTGTCTCAGACAGTGAGCTGCACTGTAAGGCTTGGGAGAAGTGAGGAGTGCCTTACTGCTACTCAGCTGCACTTCAGCTGTTGCCTGATTCCACACCTGCATGCAAAACAAAGAACTGAACAGGAAAATTCAGTCCCTGGAGGAAACATTGTCTGTTTGTGCAAGACTGCTGCCTACAGCGGAAAGATCAGTTGCAGGTTCAAGGTGATGCATAATTCTGGACACAACACACAAATAGCAATGAATGAATTTCAGCTTTCTCTGCAGAATGAATTTAATATACCGTACTTTATCAGGTTTCGATTCTACAATATTCTGCTAGTTCAGTATATCAAGAATAATAGATAGGCTACTAATGTTTCTTGGGGATTTTTAAATGCTTATTAAAGAGCAGATCTACAGTCTGTGAGAGTTCACCAAAAGCAACTTGTGCATATAGCTCCTGAGAACCCCTAGATTTCTCTTCTGTCCTTCTAGAAATGTCTGACAAAGGATTTCAGAAGAACTTCCTTGAGGTGTGTATTTTTTAAATGGCATCAAGTTGTCTTTTTTGTTTGTAACCATATGGTTGTATGTGTTTGAACTGACATAACTCTGGGTATGATGTCTGTTTGAAGAGTTGTAAGGCTTTATAGCTCCATTTTCTGCCAGGGGGACAGTGACATAGATCTCCAACTTGTAGTCTTTTTGCAGGGTGAGGTATGTAGCTACAGGTCTTTTTTTAGATGTTTGCACTGGCAGTACTATATTTAGCTACTATTCTCTGTGTATCAGAAAATAAACTCCAATTGTATGGATTTATGGAGTGTCAGTTTACTAAAGCCAAAATTTCGTGGTAAGTATCTTACCTGGGAGGCAGGAGACTTGTGCTAAGGACCCTGGGGCTTCCTAGCTGTTCTGAGGTGAGTCTTTCTTGCTGTGATACAGAGAAACTGGAAGACAATATATTGAACAGGGGTAAGTTTTAGATTTGAGGGTTTTCTTAAATGGGACGTGTCCCATGACAAATTTCTCTTCTCTCTCACTTCTGTTGCTGTGAAAACCTAATGGGATGACTGAAATAAAATCCACTATAATTATTAGTTTACTTGTTTTAAGAAGGGATTTATGCTTTTTCAGCCATACTTGCAGCATTTGTGGATTCCAACTTGAAAACAATGTCAGTTCAAAACAGGGAGGATATTTGACTGTCTTGTTTTTCTTATCTGTTTGATGATGATTTACATCTCCTGTTTTTTTCCCCAGTTATTTGTAGTAGATGTCCAGACTGGTCAAATTACCAAGATACCTATTCTGAAAGATCGTGAACCCGGCATGGTGAACCAGCAGGGATGTGGTATTCATGCCATTGAGCTCAACCCCTCGAGGACCCTTCTGGCCACAGGTGGAGACAACCCCAACAGTCTTGCAATTTATCGTCTGCCTACCCTTGATCCTGTCTGTGTGGGAGATGTAAGTGGGATTATTTGGGGAAAGTTTGTTCTGTCACAAGAATTAACTGCCTTGAAGTGTCTAACACCAGAGCAAGGTTAAGATTGGGGAGTCTTGTAGTGGAGAGTGAATTTCTGAAAGCTTGAAAATATTCCTGATTAAATTGTCTTTTTTGACAACATATCTTAAATATGAGTGAGAACACATGCATGTGAGACAATTCTCAGGGTTCCGAGTCAGATTTCTTCTTCCTCACCCTCATTCAGGTCTATTTTGGATTTTTTTAAGCACTGAAAATGTAACAAAATCCTAAATGTTGAAGTCTAATTGTGACGATGGCCTCTGAAACTAGTTTTAGTGAAAAAGCGCTTTTGAGAAATTGAAAAGATGATACAAGTTGTTCAGATTTTCCCCTTCTCCAGTGCAGCTTATGTATGTGTTATTCCAGAGGTGGAACTTGGCTTTGAGGATTAGTTCTAACCCAGTGGCTTATGGCAGTTTGATAGACTCTGGTACTGCCTATATTTCTGAAACATCATGAGGTCTTTTTAAAATAGCTGATCTTAAAAAGAAAAAACGCTGAAATGAGTATAGTGGTGTCCTGTAAGCACTTCTCTCTCATTTCTCCTTTTTTATTTAGGACTTCCCATAGATGTTAACTACAACAGCAGAGGTCAGGTCAGAGTTTCTGCAGTAGCAGATAACCAGCTGCAGAAAGGCTCAGCTCTGGAGATTTTTGTGACTTGCTGTGCATTTCCGTGCTGCTGTGACGTTGCAGCTTTTCAGTCAGAACTAGAGCCTTATGGTCTTATTTTTCTTCCCCCAGAGGCTTCTCACCTACTAAAGAAAAGATACTTGAAGTAATAGTCTTGAATTAATCTGTAGGTCATATATTGTAAACATAAGATTTTGGTTACTTCTTATAGTAGAGGTGTGCATTTGAGGAAATAAAATGATGTAGCTACTTTATAGAAGTAAAGCATGCTGCTTTCAAAATGGAAAATATTAAGTCCTTAGAATTGAGATCAATTTGTCCTTGGTTAGAGACCTGTTTTTTCATCATGTAGTTGCTCTCTATTAATTATACAGTTCAAAATCAAAAAAGTTTAAATTGCTGTTAGGTACTTAAACTGCTCCAGCTTGGTACGGGAACCTTATCTGTATGTTTTTAATGTAGGTCTGTCCTGAGCTTGTATTAAAATTCAAAGTGAAGAATACTTGTCTGCTTTGAGACTACTCTAGAATGTAGCGGCACAGAAAAAAATCTATTTTATCTTTTAGGATGGACATAAGGACTGGATATTTTCAATTGCATGGATCAGTGATACCATGGCTGTTTCTGGTAAAGTAAATTTTTTCTCTTGTGGGGTTTTTTTCCTTCCTCTCCAGAATTTTACACTGATGCACAGTGCTTGACAGGTCTTAGGGAAGCATCTAAGACAACTGCTTGGAACCGCCTTGCCTATTTAAACCCTTCTTGGTCTTAGTACAGTGCTTTGCTTTGGTTTATATGTAGGCCCCTGGTCTACAGTTGATTTTTCTAGTATCAGAGGGAATATTTCTGTTAAAGTGCAGTGTGAACCCAGGGTTTCCCAAAGCAGTGTCTTGGGCATCAAATCCCATAAAAATAAACGATTTAGTAGAAGGCGCAGCAGCAGCAGGGTCAGCTCGAGCTGGGCGCCTCCGGAGAGGGCTCGTAAGCAAAGAAATCCCTGGGCATTTCTACACCTGGGGACCGTGCATCCGCCCTTCCCACGGCCTGCACGTGTCCTTCAGCCCGGTGGTGACTCTGGCCTGGGACCCTCCCCCCCCTCCTGACCCCCCCCC